ATACCCCATATCTGGTGTCCCTCGCCGTGGTGTTGCTGGAATATTGCTAAAAGCGGGGTAAAACTCACTCGTTAAAAACTGTGAAGTCCGATGACGAGTCCTATAGTACATCATAGGAACGCTTACGTACTGAATTTCTCTGACAGTCCCGGAACCGCATTGTTTTCTCTACTGCCAAGCCATCCCTGCAATATAAAATTTTGTATTGAGATCTTTCAGATTTATTGCTTCGTAATACTGAGATAGTTGTATGCCACTCTCTCCTACTCGCACATTTAGCAATAAGCTTTCATATTAACTAGCGCGTATTACCTACATAGATATTTCGTACCATAATTGTTGGGCAATAAGAACTGAATGACTGGCTGTTTACAGAAATGTTCACACTGATTGTTTGATAAGTAAAAGTTTACAAGGCCCATTTACACCTTGCCAACCATAATGGCTTCCTCAGTTCCTAAACTTTCTTATATTGGCTGATATTAGGATTTCTTTGTTCATCAAACTGAAAAAACCCATACCTGGTTGCAGGAGTATTCGCTCAAACACACACCGCTTCGCGGAAAAGTGAAAACGGTCCTGGTTGAAGGAGTATTTGCTCAAATACACATCGCTTCGCGGAAGATTTGTTTTCTTCAGCGAAATGAAATCTGTTCATGGTTGTAGGAATATTAGCTCAAACACACATCGCTTCGCGGAGAAGCTCTTTGCTTCTGAACTATTCATTGGTCCAAAAAAGTGATCTTGAACGTGTTATTTCTCTTTCTTATTTCTAAAATGTTAATTATCATTTAATGATTGTTTTTTTGTTGTTGTCTTTTTTTAGTTTAGTTCTACGCCGCACTGAGCGATATTCCAGCTGTATGGCGGCGGTCTGTAAATAATCGAGTCTGGACCAGACAATCCTGTGAACAACAACATGAGCATCGTCCAAGCATGGGTTACTGAAGGTTCATCCTAACCCGGATCTTCACGGGTCGTTATTTTTCTTAAGGAAATATTATTATTAGATACATTTTGAACAATATGTTTTGTAAATTGATAAATAATACTATAATGATATAAAATTAATTAAATAGACTGATGGTACTTAATGAATGGTAGTATAAATTAGCAACTGCGATCATTAGTGGCTGGTTAAAGTATCGTAAAATTATTGTCCTCCTGTGAGGGTATGGTTGGCATCGTTAGCATCATCATCATGGGTAGGAGTAGGGTTGAGCTGGTAGCTGATGTTGTGTTGGGTACGTGTGGGGTAAGTTTGGGGTGGAGCGCAGAGTTGATGTGGGTGGGGTATGAGTGATTGGGAACTGGGTTGAGCTGAGCTGAGTTGAGTTGGGTTTTGCGTCACATCGGCATTATTCCAGCCATATAGTGACGAGAACAAGTTTGCATTGATAAACATTGTAAGTACAGAGTCAAAATGAGTTTTATTTCAAAAACATATATTCATTACACTGGAGTGGAATGGTGATGGGAATGGAGTTTGTGAGTGAGTTGGGTTTTAGGCCGCTTTAATCAGTCTTTCAGTAATATCATAGAGGGGGGACACCAGAAATGGGCTTCAGACACTGTACCCATGTAGAGAATCGAACCTGGGTCCTCGGCGTGACGAGCAAACACTTTAACCAATGGGCTACCCCACCGCCCGTTATGGGAGCGGGTGAGAGGTAGAAGGAGTGGATGTGAGGTAGAAGGAGCGGTGTGAGGTACGATGAGCGTTGGGTGGGTCGGAGTGAGGTAGAAGGAGTGGATTTGAATTGAGATGAGTGTGGGGTGGGTCGGAGTGAGGTAGAAGGAGTGGATGTGAATTGAGATGAGTGTGGGGTGGGTCGGAGTGAGGTAGAAGGAGGGGATGTAAGGTGAGATGAGTGTGGGGTGGGGCTTGAGGAAAGATCTTGACCAGTATAACGAGAGTTGAGTTGAGTTGAGTTGGGTTTTACGTCACATCGGCATTATTCCAGCCATATAGTGACGAGAACAAGTTTGCATTGATGAACATTGTAAGTACATACTCGGAATGGGTTTTATTTCAAAAAACATATATTCATTACATTGTCATTTCAAATAAAAAAAAAGTCATGGCACCAAATTTAAAGGCAGGCAATTTGTTAGAGGGAAGAGTGGGAAAGAGACAATGCCTCAGGAAGTCTACTTCTTCCTACCTGGGTGTCCCACCTTTTTTGTATAAGGTCCCGAGTGTCACTTTTGATAGAGGGTCATGTCATGTCAACACTGGTCTGATCATTCCGTCCCAACCCTCAACCCATGTAACTTCACTTTATCATTTATAAGCAGTATTTAGAAAATTCCTCCAATGGAAACTGGGACGTTTTGTGATAGAAGTGAACGTGGTTACTGGTTTTGCATAGAAACGGTTCCTGGTAAATGCTACTCAATTCTGTAGTATTCGCGCGAACACTCCTTGCTTCGCGGAAAATTACTGTGTCCTTCCTCAGAACAAGACGCCATATTGGCTAGCTGTTGTCCTGCCCAGTTCGTTGTCGTTCGTGTGGAGACACGGCCTGCTCCAGTTCAGAGTGGTGAGAGTAGTACATTTGCCCAAGTAATGGAAATATTGTCCTTCGTCATACTAACATGACTGATATCCCAACTGAACAACGAATTATTTTCATTTCCCCGTTTCCAAGATTTAATCAGTACCATAAAATTCTTCCAATATGAAATTACTTTGCTCTTTCCAAGTACATTGATCTTTCCTAACTTCAAATTTTCCTAAAATGTTTATCAAGTATATATTACGGTTTCAACTTCAAATAGCCTGGTTATGCATGCCGCTCCTGTTTTAGAGCATGTCCCATGTGACTGACGAATGACTGGAGCTCAGACTTACACGAGTATTTCAAGTCTATGGCGATTATACAAATAGGTACAAACATCAAGAATACAAGAATACATCCTCAAAGACATAATAATTGAGTACATATGTATGTATCTGAGGACCAGAAAACACAAGATTCGAAATACAGGCTCAATGTCTCAGACATGAATTGTCTCAGGTTGTACCTAGTATAACAGAAATGTTACAGAGAATAACCTTCAAACAATATTTTATTGAAAAGAGTAGATGCAGATATACATGTATACTCTTAAAAAAAAAGTAACGCAAAGCAAGATTTTCATTGGATATTTCAAAGACATTTGCTACATGAACTAAAAATGAGAGAAATTTGAAATGTACAGATAAACAACATCAACTGAGGCTATATTAACATTCATCGAATGTTCCAACGTTACATTTGACGTCACGCACAGTAGGTAACGTGTGTGACTCCCTTGAGAGTCAATTACTACGTATCACCTCCTGCCCACAGATGAAATCAGATTGCGGATAACAGCCTGGGGCCCAATTGCAGCCCACTCAGCCGGCAAAGCGGCAGCCAGCTGTTGTAGTGTCTCAGATTGTGGTTGTCGCCGTCGCACGCGTCTATCCAATTCATCCAAAAGATGCTCAATTGGGTTTAAATCGGGGGATCTGGAAGGCCAGGCAAAACGTTGATGTTGTTGTTTGCTTGGAAGACTGGTGATGAGTGCTGTATGTGGACGGGCATTGTGGAATGGTGATGGGAATGGAGTTAGTGAGTGAGTTAGGTTTTACGCCGCTTTAATCAGTCTTTCAGCAATATCATGGAGGGGGGACACCAGAAATGGGCTTTAGACACTGTACCCATGTGGAGAATCGAACCTGGGTCCTCGGCGTGACGAGCAAACACTTTAACCAATGAGCTACCCCACCGCCCGGTGTGGGAGCGGATGTGAGGTAGAAGGAGTGCATGTGAGGTACGATGAGTGCAGGGTGGGTCGGAGTGAGGTAGAAGGAGTGAGGTGAGATGAGTGTGGGGTGGGTCGGACCCCAGACTCATCGACTCTCTGAAGTTCATCCGTATAAGTTCTCGTCACGATATGGCTGAAATATTGCCGATGTGACGTTAAATATTAACTCACTCACTCGCTCACTCATCCGTATAAAAAGTACCAGTGATCGGATCTTCAACCATATCTTTGACTTTGTAGACTGGTAACACATCTCTGTAGTATCGTCTGCTAATATTGAAAATGTCCTCTGTCCATTTCTCCTGATAGTCCCGTTGAAAAGGGTGTCTTAAATGTGACAGCCTTACTTGGTCTCCTACTTTAAATTTAAATGCTTTTCTTCGGGTTACATGCCACTTCTCTGCTTTGACTTCGACTCAACGAACCAGGTCGGGGCAGGGTTAGTGAGGGCGCTGTAACAACAACAACACTGACGCCAACTGTGTTGAACAATGTTGATATATTGCAGTTTTTTTAAGATGAACAGACAAATAGTGAATCGCTGTACATGATTTCTTAAAGGAGAAAAGGGTATGAAATGGTTCCTAACTTAATGACTTAAATATGATGAATACAATAAAAGCATTTTGGCTGATCCTGTTTTAAGGAGCACAAATCATGTCACCACTATCAAATAGCTGAAGCCTACCAGAAGTTGCACACCTCCATGCAAGAGTTTCAAGCTGAGGGTAGTGGGTGGATTCTAGATGAAATTGTACAATTGGAAGTCAATACAGCCGAGTATACACACTTATCAGCAAGTAGCTACATTCCAATCTCCAAATACCTTGCTTATAAAAAAGCTATCCTGAACGTTCATAATGAAGATAGTAAATCGTCACCACGGATTCTAAATTGTTTAGTGAAACTCAACCAGCGGAGCTACATCTTTTCAGTTTACCACCCTAGCAAACGGCTGTAGAAAGAACCTACATTAAAGATTGTCGTCCAATTTCATCCTTATCGGGTAACGCACCGATAGAATTTCATATTAGCGGTCAAGACGGATTGGAATATATAGATCTACGTAGATCCACGCTCTACATGAAATGTCGAATTACTAAGGCAGGGCTTACATTACGTCCGTTTTTTTTAACGCATGCGTTATGCGTTGCGTTTTTGCTCTTACACTATATGCGTTAATATGCGTTTTGAACATGCGTTAGATGGCGGCCATAGCTGTGATGAGTATGATGTTGGAGGAAGAGGAGGAATTCGAAGAAGAGGAGGAATTAATCACAACCACAGCAGTTGCCATCAGTGCAAATCAAACTGCCAGGGGACGGAGATGGTGGATGCACTCTTTAAATGAGCAGAGGTCTCTGGAAGGAGTCTGCAATCGTCTGATGAAAGAATTAGAAATGGACAACGAACGATTCAAGAATTACTTCCGACTTTCAAAAGAGCAATTCTATGTACTACTGTGCAAAATTGACCATGCCTTGACCAAAGAAACGACACGATTGCGACATCCTATTTCATCGCGTGAAAGGTTAGCTGTCACGTTAAGGTATGTCCAACAAAAGACAAAACAAGTGTAAGTTTAACAAGTGTTTAATTTTTCATTTGGGCGCTCTATGTGAAAATGTATAATTACTATGTAACTTTAATTATAATAAGTGAAACAATGTTATTTTAAAAGAAGAAAGGTAAATGACGTTCGTCCATCTCTGATGTGCATTTAAGAAATAAGTCAGATAATTTTCAAATAAGTAATATAAAACATGTACATCTATCCCTGGTGTACATTTCAGAAATAACATTCAATCAATTCGTTCTTCAATAGGTTGTAAAATCAATCACTGGAAACTCCACCTTGTGGAACATAATCCGTCTGTTCTGCACGTGTGCCAAACCGGGCATCATGAAAAACTTGGTCGACTTTAAGTTTAACTAGACTTTTGGTAGCATCAGACATCTGTTTTAACTCATGAGCATATGACAACATGAACTGTTCATCACTGTCCCTCTCTTTGTTCATCGATGCTAATGCCTCTGTTAAGACTTGTCTTGAATTTCCTGTCTGACGTGGTTTCTGTTCCTGGTATCCCCGAGAATACCAAGTAATTTACCGCTTTCATCAGTCATCTTTGCTCTCTTTTTGGTTGGAGGAACTGGCGATATACGCCTTGAAGTTGAAGGTGATACGTGATCTGAAGTGTGTCTGAAATAGACAAGATTAAGCTCATTGGTTGACTGTTATTATAGAAGTTCATGTGTGAAAATGGCAAAAAATTAACATCTTACTGTTCACCTTGCAGGTATTTGGCTACAGGAGATTCATTTGTGTCCCTGTCCTATGCCTACAGAATTGCAGACTGTACGATCGGGGCTATAGTAAATGATGTATGCACTGCCATATGGGAAGCACTGCAGCCAGAGGCTATGAAAGCTCCTGCCACAGCTGAGGATTGGAAACAGATTGCTGAAGACTTTGAAAGCATATGGCAATTTCCGAATTGTTGTGGGGCGATTGATGGAAAACACATTGTTCTAAAGGCCCCACCTATGTCGGCCGCGGTTTATTACAATTACAAAGGTACCTTTTCTATTGTGCTACTGGCTGTGGTTGATGCCAACTACAGGGTTTTGATCATTGATGTGGGGTCATGTGGTATGAACAATGATTCAGGAGTGTTTCGGAACTCAAGGTTTGGTCAAGCTTTGCGAAACGGCACATTGCCCCTTCCAGCAGATAGATCACTCCCAGGAGCAGAAGTGTTAGGACCTCTCCCATACGTATTCGTCGCAGACGAAGGTCTGCCACTCTTGAGAAACCTTTTGAGGCCATATGGTGGACGTGGACGAAATGATCACGAGAAAATATTCAACTATCGCCCAAGCAGGGCCCGAAGGATTGTTGAGAGGACATTTGGCATTCTTGCATCAAGGTGGAGGGTTTTCCATTCAAAGATAGGGGTTGCACCTGATAAAGCCAAAATCATAGTTCAGGCAGCGTGTGTGCTTCACAACTATGTCCAAAAGTCAGCACCATCAGCACAGCAGACATGTTTGGATGAAGCGTCACCAATGTTATCTCTTCCAAGGTATGGAAGGCGTGGTAGCCAAGAGGCAGGATTAGTAAGAGATGCATTTAGACAGTATTTTAACAACTGGGGTCAAGTACCATGGCAAACAGATCAGTTACTTACCCTTTCAAGTCTGCTTCAGCAGATTCACTGTCGTTGAGGACTGTATCATCCTCATCTTCATCCTCATTGTTGTCACCTGCTGCATCGTCAAGAGGCATGTTACTTGCAGTGCTGTGAAAAGACAAATTTCGTTCGTTTTTGTTTAATAATTCTTTAATGTTTTATGGACATTAGAATGAAACAATATAATTAGCTCATAGTCTCAATTGTTTGAACTCAATTTGACCCAATAAATAATATTGGCATGTTTTTGTGTTTGTGTTATCCAAACAGCTATGTCCTGTGGAGATACATGCTGTAAAGAAGAAGCCGTGCAAATATTGCTGAAATTTGGTAAAGTCCTATGAACTCAACTCTATTGCTAGCTAGAGGACGACACTTGTTTAATGAACACGTTGCATACATGAACTTGGATGTATGCTTACCAGTCATCCTCAAGGTATTCATCCAGGAACCCTAGGCTCTTAAACCATGGCCATTTAGGTTCCTTGGCGTCATCCCCGCCTGACCCACTCATCTTACTTTCCTTATATTCTCTTCTTTTCCTGATATAGCCATCTTTTAGGCTCCTCCAACGAATCTTGGCTGGAACGAAACCATACATAGTTTTAAAACAATTTGGTGGATATTCTATTTGATAATACTCATCATCATCATCATCATCATAATCAAATCGGTAGCATTTAAAATGGGATTTCTCAATTTTTCGATTTATTGGCATTCCCTACCTTCAGACACGCTGACACCGAGTGTGTTTGATATTGAAGTCCATATATTGTTACAATATCCAGGTCTCTATACTGACGACACCTTTTGTCATAAAGTGTGCTGTTTTCTTCCACCAGGGCAATAAGTTGTTCTGTGTTAACGGCAGTCCACCGGGTCTTTTTTACCAATTTCCATCGACGTCATTCTTCTTGTCTGAAGAGAGTATTTTGGTATATTGCTTAATATTGTCAAGATTTTATCTAAATAGTATTATATGGTATATTACTTAATATTTATGAAATAGTTTAAGTCATATACAAACAGATAAAGCATTCTAGAGTGATAAGTCATCCGATTACATGTTACATTGGCTTGTTTCGTTTAAGAAATTACAAAATCAACTCACCGGAACTACTCACGTGTTAGCAAAATACCTTGTTAAAATGGCGTCATCAAGGGAATTCCCTCTGCGTTTCAATTTGCGTTGCGTCAAAAATACTGTAAGACCTATTTTCCACGCAGCGCAGCGCAACGCACCCAAAAAGCGGACGTAGTGTAAGGTATGATAAAATAACTGACTGACGCAACGCAAGAAAAAACGGACGTAATGTAAGCCCTGCCTAAAGCCGACGGAACGCATCTTGACTCTACGGAGACCTGTGGTCCGGTCAATCTGTTCATGCATTCGATACCACAAGCTCTTCGTGAAGGATACGGAGAAAGAAATGGAAGACAATTTGAGGTTTGTTTGGTATTGTTTGAGAGAATATATTGTCTCAGAATTACGGCGGTTTATGTACTTTGTTTAGTTTGTTTTTGTGTGTTTGTTTGCTTTTTAGTTTAGTATGATATATTTCAAATATGTTTAAAAAATGAATAAAGAATGTTACCGCTATTTCTCGCATGTGCGGTGGTGGGCGATGCATTCTGGAATGGAGTACAGTAAGTAGAAAGATGATTAATGCATATGAATTGAAAATAATTTAAATTAAACAAAACAACAAAAAACTAACAAAAGTTGAATGACTTATTAATGTAAAGTTTATGATAAACGTGAATATATAAATATGTTTTATAAAACAAATGATTAAAACATAGACATAACGCGTTTACTGACCGTTGGACAGAGTTGATGATAAATGTACACCATTATGTCTCGGCTTCGTAGTATGTTGTCACAAGTCACCCTACTGTCTGAGAGGTCGATAACTTTCAGATTAGGAAAAGTTTTCCTGTTCACTAGGAAAGGCGAATTCCAACCGTTACCGCTTACCCTGACGACACGGGATGAGGAATGCTGTCGACGAGGTCTTTGATCCCTTCTTCAAAACACACCAATTCAATGTCATCCTTGTGACAGTGCGGGATGAAGCCAAGTGCAAATCCAAACACGAACAGAATGAGTATTACGTTCGCCATAACTTTTCCTCTGAGAGTCTTCATACTGACCTATTACGCGCATTAAATATCTTCGACCCTTGACTGACCAGCGCTGACCAATGTCCAATACACAAGCTCGATATAAGATGATTTGTAAAAGTAAAATAATAGAGTCGTTTTATAGTAATTACATTAGTATTGCGCTAACGATTTAGTACGCGAAAAGAATATATTTGTTATATAAAATAAAATGGAGAAGACTGATACTATTCGAAATAGCATTATAATGAAATGGTGTTATGACGTCAATAGGACTCACGCGATGTTCCCACGCGCCTAGTCCTATCATATGGAGTTAACGAAGCAGCCAAACGTTATACATAGGAACGTTTTACGATAAGGGGACCCATATTACTACTTATATCTATCCATTGTGATGGACAAATCAATAGAGTCGAGCTCAAACCACACACAAAAAACTTCAGCTGTGGTAAACGACCACAATGATCACTTGAGGGCCATGAAATCCCAACACACCTGCTGTATGGTGTAAAATGAGACACCAAAATCAAACAAAAAAACAGTTGTTTCTGTCTAGTGTGTCTTGTGAGCTTTTGCTGTGGGAAAGGTCTTTGTACAGACACGACACGTAAATGATTGTCAAGGAGCTGTGCTGAGTGGTCTGTCTTTGTGTTGACTTTTTATATGTCTTTGTAATATATCACATCACTGCGCAAGAATGACATGGAACAGATTTCACAATCAAAATGTTTGTGAGATGGACCACAATTTCTCTGATGTCTAGCGAGCGAACGTTTGTGACTATAATATAATATAATATAATATAATATAATATAATATATGAGAGAGAGAGAGAGAGAAAAAACATTGATTCTGTTGAAATGATTGCTCAATCCTTCCTGCTATTTCATCATGTTGTGATCTCCTGAAAGATTCTATCACTTGACGTAAACTTTTCTGCCTGATGACAATGCACATCAAGTCTCGATTGGATTCAATCCTACCGCATTTTTAAAGCAGCTCTTTGGTCGGTATAACATGCGAATGTAATCATTCCTTTTTCAAACAAAACGCCGAGAAAGGATGTTTCTAAATTATGTACGATATAGGTCCAATTGACTTGAATTGCATTAAATTCTATTGGCATCATTTCAGTTGTTCGACTCCGCACTTACAATAAATTCAAGATAAACAATTAATATGGTGTAGCAAACAATGCAGATGAGTTGGAGACTATTCTGAAATATTGTGATAACAAAATAGTTAGAAAGTGTTTTGTCAGTGAGCATAAATGTGACACTTATTGAAGGAAAGTAATACTTGTGTTTTCTAACATGTTTCACAATATGATTTCATATACAAATTGTCTATGACAGTTAAAATTAAAACTCTTACCTTTCACACAAAGAATAGGTCTATTCAACCTTAAAAAAAACCAAACTCCTGAGGCACCTTCTGGTAAGTGAGTAAAAAAGAAGATGTCACAGAAATGACCAATGTTCGTGCATGAAGTTCGAGAGACTAATGTGAGGCTGAGATCAGAAATCCGATCGTTTTATAGGGGAACAAAATTGCTGAAGTACAAGGGCATTATCTATACAATAACAGAAACATTGTCGATGTCTAAAACATATGAACTGAGAGCAATTAAGCATCTCCATCAGTTCAGACATGGATATTTACATAACATTCTCTATGGAACATGGCTTCGGGCAGAATAGAGCCAGCATCTTCCTTTTGCTAAATATTTTATTGTCCTGGACCTACACCACGGAGCAACATCCATGATGACATCTCTTTTCCTGGAAATGAATTATTAGGAAATGCAGGCTATATTTGTTTTTGTTCTATGGTATAACAATTCATATAGTTAACCAGCCTCAGGGCATATGCAGCATTCATTTACAAAAAAATAAGATTCACCCCATTAATCTTTCACATTCGGATATATTCCATCCGACAACTTGGTGGTAGTACTTCAGCAACACAGCACGAAGATTTTCATCGTTGAAATAAATGTTGCAGATTAGAATGTCCTGCATCCACCCTCCCAAGACGTTATATATAATATTATCCATGAATGTGAATTGTTCATCCAAAGACTGCATTATTAAAATATACTCACTTCCAATATTGAAGGGTCAAGTTTTCTTAAGGCTGCTAACAGACACGTTGTATTAATAAACAACCCCTTTCAACTTAAAATAACATCTTTAAGGTATGGAAAACCTGCTTGAAGCAATATTCCTCACATTGAAGGAAGGATTTACGATTTTACAGAGCATTAAAGAGGTCCATGTGGTCAACACCTTGCTGTTGCAGATAAGCAGTGACTATTCTTGCCCGGTGTGGTCTTGCCTTATCATCATGCAAAATGGGAACACGGCTGTAAAAGCCATGCATAGCCTGGAGGTATGGCACTACGATGACACTCAAAATCCCATCACAATGTCGCTGACCATTGAGATTACCATTGATGACTCAAGGGCTTGCGCAATGTTTGTGCGGTGATGCTGCTATTGTCCTCACCAACAGAATACATGTTGATAGCATCATCATCCTCTTTTGTGGGCGTAAGATTTGCAGGAGGGTGAATTGAGGTGTGCGGCGACAAGTGTCGGATGACTCACGTTGGAGAGAAGAAGGGTGTTTCTGTCTAGTGTGTCTGGTGAGCTTTCGCTGTGGGAAAGGTTTTTGAACAGACACGACACGTAAATGATTGTCCAGGAGCTGTGCTGAGTGGTCTGTCTTTGTGCTGACTTTATGTGTTTTTGTAATGTATCACATCACTGCGCAAGAATGACATAGAACAGATTTCACA